ATTAGCAAACTAATTTCCCAGCAACTTCAGCCAAAATTTTATAAATTTCAGCAGAATCGGCCGATGCAGCCAATTTTGGTATTACCAACCGGGCACTATATGAGCTTATTCTTTATTTAAAAATCTTTGGTAAGAGTAAAAATTATAAATTACACACAAATATAATACCTAAAAATCATTGTCTAAACTTTAACAACATTGACCATGAAAAGTCAAACTGGTTAATCTTTTTTAGATGATGGGAGTTTTTTTTTGTTTCTAGTTTTTTTATCCCAGGGGGCGTTGGGGGATAGGGTTTGGGGAGCCTGGGATAAACAGGGTTCAATCTCACTCCATTGAAAATTGAAACTGGGAACTCCCATAAGGGAGAGTGAGTTGGGCTGGACCGCTTCCTCGAAAGGAGTAACTTTTTTATCACGCATAATATATCACACTGCATATGTATTATCACAAAGAATTACTCAAACCATTATTTTTAAAAATTTAAAGATGCAATTATAAATAGAGAAAATTTTGTCGTGTTCAATTAGAATTCATCAGGGCCCAACAAAATAAAATATCATATTTATTTTAATGTGCTATAACTTGTCTATTTGAAATACAATTGTTACAAAAAAAATATCAAAATTCATAACTTTTTATTATCTTTTATATTTTACAAATATTGAATATATAAAAATGAAAAATAATTTTACACTTTAAAGCTTCAGTTTTTTAAGTGCTAGAATTTTTTTATACTACGATTGTTACAAAAAAATATATTAGAATTCCTGAAAATTTTATTACTTTTCATATGACTTCAATGTTTCATATATAAATAAAATCTATTAATATGTGCAGTTTATGATCGTTTTTTACCATGCACACTATTAATCGGAGTGATAGCTTAGAATAAAATAGCGCATATTCTACCACAAAGAATAAAACAATAAATAAAAATGATGGAGTTTGTGCGGTTTTATTCTACGGTATCGGTCCTCATTAATTGTGTGTACAGTAAGAAACGATCTAAATTGCCAAAAATTAATAAAATTATTTTTTATTACTTTTATATATGCAATATTGGTGTCATATGAAAGATAATAAAAAGTTATGGATGTTGATAATTTGTTATGTAACAATCGGACTACAAATAAAAAAATTATATCACATTAAAATAAATATGAGATTTTATTTTTTGAATTACATACCTTTAGAAAGTTTTAATTAGGTAGGATTCCAATAGCTTAGTATTAACGTAACATTAGTTCTACCATACTGAAATTACGTAAAATTAATGTAACCGAAGTACTTGTATAATTAGTATGCTAAATTTGCGATGATATATGGCAAACTTTCCCTAATTATAGCTTTGAATTGTATTATCTAAATGAACGTGACATGAGTTCAAATCTACCTTTAATACTAATTTTACGGATGTTTTCTTTTGGACTGAAATTTGCTGGTCCGGTCTGGTCTGTTTAAGTCTGGTCTGGTCTGGTCTGAACTGGTCTGGTCTGGTCTGGTAAACGTCTGGTCTCTGTGTATTTTATAACTACGGAAGTCTGGTCTGGTCTGGTCTGTTTAAGTCTGGTCTGGTCTGGTCTGTTTAAGTCTGGTCTGGTCTGGTCTGTTTAAGTCTGGTCTGGGACTGAAAACAGTCCAAAAGAAAACATCCTACGTCATACTAATTTTATCGCTCAAATGTATTATCTATAGAATATTGTATTTTTAAAAATAGACATTTTTTAAAGGGTTATCTTTTTTCAAAATAGATATATCAAAAGTGTTAAATTATTTTTTTATTTTTATATATTGAATATTGGTCTCATATGAAAGATAATAAAAAATTATAAATTATGGTGTATTTTTTGTAACCATCAAAGTACAAATTAAAAAGTTATAAGACTTTAAAATTAATATGAGATTTTATTTTTTAAATTACCTAGCTTTAGGAAGTATGCTAATTTAACGTAACATGAGTTCAAATCAACTTTTAATACTAATTTTACGGAAGTAGACTTTATTTACTAAATTGGAAAGAAAATCAAAAATATTATTATGAAAGTTTGCCTAGATGATGACACATGGCAAAACTTTCCATAATTGTATCTTTGAAATGTATTATCTATAGATAGATACGAAGTACTCTATATATACTTCGTATTATTATTACCTATCATCATCTTATTGCAATAAATGGATATGGTTTCTACTTTCCAGCTTATTGAAATAAATGATGTGATGACATCTATCTAATTTGATTAAAATCCGAATTCACATCTTGATTTCTTATCCATCCATTCTGCATCATATCCTAAACGGCAGGGATGGATTTAGGGGGGGGGGGCGCGGGGGGCGACCGCCCCCCTTGGATTTTCAAAATTTTCTACCATATATGTAATATTTTCATAGAACTTTCATAATTTAATTAGATTCGCCCCCCTTAACTTTTAATTTTCAAAATTAATATAGTCTTACATTATGTAATAGTTAATTGGAGATTTGAAAGAAGTAACATCTAAAATAATTTACATAGCTTAAACAAATAAACAATAGAATAACTCGTTGTTTAAGATTTGGGATACTTATTATATAAAAATTCCTAGTTTTGTAATGTTTAATTATCTTTATTAGATAACAAGTACTGGATTTTGTAAAATATATATCAAATGATATTAAATATCAGACACACTAATTACACAGTATTTAGATCACGTGAAATGATCCAAAATATAAATGTTTATTGAAATTAAAGTACATAATTTGTTTACTTCTTGCTTTCTAAAAAATAATTTATTGCATAGATAATAAACTTTAAATTATTATAGCATTAATACAAATATTAAAATATAATATGTACCATATATATAATATGTGGTGCATATTATCTAAAAATAATAATCCCATAAATATTACTATTGTAATATTAAGAAAACTTCTCATGAGTCATGACTCACGAACACCCTCCTTGGTAGACAAAAATTACAATTCAATAACCGATTCATGAAGTTAAACAATGTAGAAGTTATTTAAAATGTATTGGTTGATGTCTTTGTCATTGTCTAAACTTAGAATGTAATAGATTTAAATATCGTTGGGAATGTGTACGTATTAATGTCATTTTTTGAATTAAAATAGTCGCATAGCCCTACAACACCGAAAAAATTCGCCCCACTACACTATGGAAAAAAAATTCGCGCCGCTACATTAATGAAAATTTTTTCGCCATCTACACTAACGAAAAATTTCGCCCCCCTTGAGTCAATTTCCTGGATCCGTCCCTGCTAAACGGTCTCTATCCCATGTTTTCGTGAGCAATCCCTGAGCATTTTTTTTCATATTCTGTTTATCCACCTTCCGATCCATTCGATTTTTATGTGTTAGGATATAGTACAAATTACTCTTTACTCATGCTTAAAATACCCCGAATCTAATTGTTTCCCTCGATCAGTTTTATCCTTTAATTACTCAAAACGAATTGTTTGATGTCCCTAAACAAATTACACATTTTTTTTTAATTTCTACTAGTACAAAACAAACATGTTATTTTACTGATAGTAAAATACTCCATTCCATATAGGATGTTTTTACTTGGACTGTATTTTGTCTTAGACCAAACCATATCATACCAGAGCAGTTTAGACTAGGACTTGGATAGTTATAAAAATACAAAGAAACCAGACCAGACCATGCCAGATCAGACATGACCAGCAAATTAAATTACAGTCCAAGTAAAAAACATCCATAGTTCACCTTATTAGTTATTTCCCCCTTTTAAATATTTTTTGACAATATAGTTTTCATCCCCTTAATAGTAATACGGAGTATTTAAATTGCATATACGGTATTACTTAGATAGTACTCCGTATGAATTAGACCATTGTAAAGGTATGAGTTAATTATCAAAATAGGACTAAAAGTCATTCACTTTGCACAAATAGGACAAAAAAATAAACTATGTTTCCATAGGACTAATTATGTTTGTCTTGGACAAATATACCCTTATACCTATTGGAATGTTTTAATTCATAATAAAATAATAAAAAATAATAAAAATTCGTAAAATATACCAAAAAATTAATAAAAATATTCTGAATAATAATAAATTTAAAAAAAAATTAAAAAAAAAATAAAAAATAAAAAAAATAAAAAAAAAATTAAAAAAAAAATAAAAAAATATTTTTTTTGTCACCGCCGCCTATACCGCCCCAGCACCACCACCTCTAGTCATTTGGGGAAAAAATGCCAAATTTATTATGAATTCCATATTTTTGGCATAATTCAGAATGATTTAAGATGGAAGAAAAAAATGTTGGCATTCTCAAAGAGAAATATGCCATATTTTTGGCATTTTCCGAAAAAAATGGAAGTTTGTAGGAAATATGACATTTTTTTTAACGGTCGGAGGTGGTGGTGTAGGGAGGCGGTACCACCACCTCTTGTCACCGGGGTAAAAAAATGCCAAAAAAATTATGAATGCCATATTTTTGGCAAAAGTCAAAAGGATTCAAGTTGGCAGAATGAAAATGTTGGCATTCTCATAGAGAAATATGCCATTTTTGTGGAATTTAAAAAAAAGTGGCATTTTTTACACCGATCGGAGGTGGTGGTTCAGGGAGGTAGTACAGGCGGTGGGAAACGTATCCATATTTTTTTTCATTTTTTTTATGGAGTTTTACTGTTTTTTATTAATTTTTAAAAAAAAAATTAAATTTTTTTTTTCTTATTTTTTATTTTATAAAAATTTTGTTAATTTTTTTATTATTTTTCTACGAATTATTGAAATTTTTCGAATTTATTATGAATTAAACATTTATTTATGACTTTTAGCTATCTTTTACTAATATTTAAAGGAGGTGTAAGAATGGAAGGAAGAAATGAGTATGTTTCCAATAGGACCACTATGGTCCTATTTTGGAAAAAAAACATAGCAAGTCCTATTTTGAGTTTTTGTCATAGTTTTAGTCCTATTTGAAATTAATTTCTATAAAGGTATATATACACATACGCGCTCACATAGTTTTGCATCCCATATCTTTTACATTTCCACCTCTTCTAACTAGTTCGCCGGCAAGAAACCAACCGCCATGTCGGAGGAGAAGCACCACCGCCACCACTTTGGCCACCGCAAAGACGATGAAGAGGAGAACAGACAGCCTTCCTATCCGGACAGGACGACAGCCTACGGCGATGATATAAACAATAACGACACTTATGGCGCTTATGAGAAGCCCTATGGACAACAAACTGCCGCCGCCTACGGAGGAGATGATGACTCCTCTTACAATTATGAGAAGAAAACCACCACTGAGTATGGGTATGGTCAAGACTCGTACGGCGGCGGTCAACAAGCTGCTGACTATGATGACGACAAGCCTGCCGGGAGAAGCCATGAGGATTTCGAAAAGGAGAAAAAACACCACAAGCATCTTGAGCAGATTGGTGAGCTTGGCACCGCCGCCGCCGGTGCCTACGCCTTGGTATACCACAAACTTATTCATAAATTTTCTTTAATACCTACCTACTTTTTACATCCCAATATGATTCAATCAATTATATATACTTAGGGAAGTATTAATCAGTTCATTCTTTTAATTGGATTAAGAAAAGACTAAGCATGTTTTATTAAAGAAATAAAACATACTTGCTCTATCCTATAGAATATTGTGTGAAATTTATAAATTTTAGGATTTTCAGTTTCAGTTTTATAACATTTGACTCACTTATCGTTGTGACATCTTTTCCGGTACACTCTCACAAGGTACTTTTCAAGGAAAAAATCTTTAAATCGCAAAGATTTATAAGTTAAAAGATCAAACTTGCAAGTGACCAAAGTTGTAAGACTGAGAATGAAATTGACCGAAAGATACATGACAAAAACTGCAAAGCTCTCTAAATTTTATACATTTACGTAAGTTTTTTCAAAACAAAGAATATTTTCATAAAATTTTCTTATAGTAAGAGTTTCATTTGAAAACATATATATAATCAATCAGATTTGATCATAGATCGTCGATTAAAAATTAATATAATCAAGTTTTATGAGATAGATTATATAAATATACGGAGTATAAGTATGTGTGGGGATGTGGCAGTATGAGAAGCACGAGGCAAAGAAAGATCCGGAGCACGCGCACCGACACAAGATAGAAGAAGAGGTCGCTGCGGCGGCTGCCGTCGGCTCTGGTGGGTTTGCGTTCCATGAGCACCACGAGAAGAAGGAAGCCAAGGAAGAGGAAGAAGAGGCTGAGGGACACAAGAAGAAGCACCACTTCTTTTAATGGATTAATAAACGTTTTGAAATTCCAAAATAGGAGTATCCTGTTTTTTTCCTGAATAGGAGTAAATTTCTACCAAGTTTGACATTACAAGGCTCTAAACATGGCTTTTCAAACTTGCCACATTACTCGTATTCAGGAAACAAAAAACATGATACTCTTATTTTGAAATTTCAAAATGTTTTTACTCCTATTTAGGATAATTTCTGTTAATAATTTACTACACGTATTTGCAATTACGTAATTTACTTTGGATCGTATCTGCCATCTGCATCTTGTACGTTTATTTTGTGTACCACTGCCTATATATTTATACAGTCCGTACGTGTGTGAATAATGGCCACCCCATTAATTTGGTCTTGTCAGTACTTTGATGTAAGAGCTTTTATACGCTGTTTTATTCAATAAATTATACTCCATATGTCTGATGTTATTTTAAGGACCGTATGTACTATGTCTGATGTTGAATTACGTAACACGTATTCCAATGTTTTTACTTGGACCGTAATTTTTATCTGGTCTGATCTGATAAATATTTGATTTCTGTATATTTTATAACTATCCAAATTAGATTTGGTTTGGTCTTATTTGATCTGGTCTGATCAGGGTCTGTTCAAGTAAAAATATCCTAGTTCCAATTACAATACATGCTAAATAGGAATACAAGTATTTCTTCCGTTGCTAAAGAGTGTGTTTGGGTAATAGCTGCTTGAGTGGAGCTAGGTGTACACAAAAATTGTATACAAAAGTTGAACACTTGTCTGTCTAGCGCAAATAAATTGTCTCTCTGGAGTTGAGTTTTCTGTCCACCGACAACTCACCTCTAGACAGACAATTTATTTGCGCTGAATAGACAAGTGTACAACTTTTGTGTACACCAAACATTTTTCTTCATAGCCGCTTAGGTCCATTCCGCCGCTTTTTCCAAAAAAAAGGTTGCATTTTGCAGCGTTTAGGTCCCAATAAGCCATAAAACAAACAAGGCGAAAATATGTACTCCGTATGATGAAAAGCGCTAATGCTACTTTAATGTGAAGTGCGGTTAATATTAATAATCAGTTCTATCATTATACTTGGCATTAATCAGGCGTGGATAAAAAATTGAAAAATCAAATTGAATGACCAACCCACCAATGCGACAAATTCACACAAACCAAACCGACCAAATTAAAACTGAATCCAGTGAAATTGAAATCGACTAAATTGACCTAACCCTTGCCGGTCCAGTTTACGATTTATTATTTTGAATTAAAAACTCGACCGAATTGACAAAAAACTGATCAAAACGTGCTAAAACCGACCACAATAGTTACAAACCAACCCAAACTAATTGAACCGACACCAAGTCAAGTTCTGCAATTAGGATCCCGAATTCACCTTTTTTTAAAAATAGTGGTTAAAGACTATGTTTAAAAAACCGACCCGACCCGGCCGGGTTGACCCGGAACCCGGTGACCCGGACAAAAAACCGGTTCGGTTTTTTCAAAACCAGGAAATGGTCAAAAACCGGAAAAACTCGGCTGACCCGGGAAAACCCGGTCAAGACCCGTACCCAAGACACCCGAAAAACCCGGTAAAACCCAGTTTTTGGGTGTTTTTTACCAAAAAAAGTAATTTCTTTTTTATTTTTAATGCATTTTTTATACCAATAAAATTGCAATTTCAATACCTTAAAAAAACTACGTAATTTATTTATATATTTATTTAAGAATGAACATCATGCTAAATTATAATATAGATGTACAATAAAAATAAAAATATCATTATATATTTTTATAAGATCAAAATATACATTGAAATATTATAAGAGTGTATTAAATGCTTAATAAGTAGTATTGTTAGTTGATTATTATGAATAATAACTAATTTTTATTATAATTTTATATGTAATTATATGTTTACTATTATTATATAGACGTATAATCATTGACCGGTTTTCCGGCGTTGACCGGGTTGACCCACCGGGTCCGAGTTGACCCGTGACCCAGTCATGTGGCCGAGTCACTCTCTGGTCCCGTTTTTACAACATAGGTTAAAGATTGAACTGATAAAAGTGGTAACAAAAAACGTAGCATTTGACCTCAAGCAGAAGACATAAAATAAATTAAAGGTAATTATGACCACACGAATTTCACAATTGCCTTGTTATCCTTCATTCAAAGGGGCCGAACCGCCGAATCTCCAAGCCAAGACTCCCCAAATACATCCCAATAAAAGATAAGGAAGGTTATAAATCGCAATCATATTTACTACTCATTTGGTCAGTACTAGCACTAAGAGCATCTCCAATGGTAGAATGTGCACGGTGCACACGTGGCATGAGAAATAGCCACATAAATATTAGTAAATAAATTCTTTCTCTCCTTATTTGAATGATTTTATACAGTTTTGGTAAGTTTTTCTCTACAATGTCAAGGAGACCGACTAGATGTTGACATTGTAGGGAAAAACTTACCAAAATTGTATAAAATCATTCAAATAAGGAGAGAGATAATTTATTTGCTAATATTTATGTGGCTATCATTCATGCCACATGTGCACCGTGCACATTATAGCATTGGAGATGCTCTAATAGATCTTATATATGTGCCGATGTGCGTATGTACCAGAGATCCGGTACATCATGTAGAAGTTTTATTTGGATCTATCTTTAATCATTTGCTAAAACTTCTCACCACTTTACCAACTAAACTACCCAAGCTAGTTACAAGTTACAACCCTACTTCATTAATAAACCCAATTCTCAATTAGTTAATATGAAAATTGGAAATTCATTGTTCGTGTTATTCCAATTTTTTTAATGCAATCAAGCACTATCAATATATTCACAACTTTAATTTCTTTTAATTATATCCTTACTTTTATTATTATTATCTACATCAGTTTTTGCCAACATTTTTTCACGAATAGTTTTTTTTTTTTTTGGATGAACGAATAGTTATGATTAAAAAATTCAACCATTCTGACTAAAAATAAATAAATTTTAGTTTATTTTGTTGTTGTTGTTGTTATCTCAAATCTATTTTTCAAAAAATAGATGAATGAAGAAAAACATTAACCATGAGATCTCTATTTTAGCACTTTGATATATATAAGAAAAACTTTGAGAATCAATTTCTCGTTCACCCATTATATATCCGTTTAGAGTATACCATGCATATATCGACTCGAAACCCTTAACAAGGAGAATCCGACACCACTTTGATGACCTGACCTAAATCAGAAGTGAAGTTCACTCAAAATACTGCTTCAAATTGATCATTTGATACAATTTTAACACATTTTCCCAACACTTTCTTCTCGCCACCAGGGTGACATTCACCAACTTTGCCACCCTCTATACAGATTTTTTTTCTTAGTGTTGCCCGGCCACCGCCACACCCTATGAGTTGAAAAGAGTAAATTTTCACTTTTCACCGATAGAGTCGCAAACAGGAGAAGACATGGTCAATGGTCTTGGCATTTACGAAGTACTATCGTGTATAATTATATAACGAGATTTTTCTTAAGATATTACTAATAAAAAAAGAGAAAAATGTAACTATAAGTTATTATGAGTAAAATGTAACTATAAGTTATTATGAGCATAATTTATAGTCACTACGATGTAACATTTGACTATAATTATTTTTTATATAACAATGGTCAATGGTTAATAGAATTAGTAGAGTAATACATTTTAGTCCATTACTTTTATTTTAGTTATATACGTAGTATTTGATATCATTTCTCATATAATTTCATGTTCACACTAGTTGTTTAGATATTCCACACTAAAATATTGGATTTTAGCTAGGGGTGGGGTGGTACGACCCGTACCATATAGGTTAATTTTCAGCGAACAGATAGATGAATTACTATATTTTTTATACCATTATTATTCAAACAACCATTCTTGTTGTATCCATCTTATACCCACCTTTGTGAAGGCTATTTTTTCTGTGAGTCCGGTTTATGGACAAGATATGTCTTATTTTGTCTGTGCAAATTTTGCATAGACAAAATAAAATATATTTTGTCTGTGAACGGAATTCACAGGAAAAAAAATCTTTACAAACATGGATAAATATAAAAATTGATATAAGAGCGAGTACAAACATCGTTTATTATTATTATTATCCGTGTGGTACGGCCGTAAAATAACTTCGGTTTACGAGATATTGGTTACTCAAAAAACCACAAAACCATGATTTTTAAGGCCTTTTTATTTGAATATTACTAAATAAAAGACAAAAGATAAAAATGTGACATATTTTTGAAAATTCTAAAAATGTGACCATTAACCCTGCAATGCAAAGTGACTCCCATGAAAGTGACTTCAACGTCATAGTGACCCGCTGTCACAGTGACCCGCCGCCACAGTGACTCCGGTCACAGTGACTCCGGTCACAGTGACTCCGGCCACAGTGACTACACCGTCACAATGACTCCGGCCACAGTGACTCCACCGTCACAGTGAATCCGGAGTCCACAGTGACTCCGGTCACTGTGCCACAGTGACTACACTCGTGCACAGTCTTCAGCCGATAACCACCGTCAAGCATGTTATCATCACAGTCATTCTGACGGTGAATCCGTGACCACCACTCACCAGCCCCTCACCACCGTCAATGCAACATTTGCTGCCACCACTCCGGCCAGCCACTGCACCCCATCCCCAGCCCCCCTGAACCCCACGACACCCGCACCAGCCAGAACAATCGTTGACCATCCAAGTCCCATCCCTTACCCTGCAACAGCCCCACACCCAGCACCCTCCGACCACCGCCGGAGCACACCACGTCTCGCCACCGCCAGAGACCACCCCCTCCCCAACTGCCCAGCTTTCTGCTCCCCTACCCCTTCTCCCATTCTCCCTGACCATGATTCCGCAGCCCCCTTCCCAATTCACCACGTAGAGCCCTCCTATCCTCAGATCCCCTCCCCTCCCAGACCCCGTCCCATTCCCTCAATGCTTCACAGCCCTCACCGTCGCTGAACGAGAAGAAAGATGGAGAAGAAGAGCGATGAAGAAGGTCAGATCCGTCAGAAGGAGATCTTCGTCTCGAAGATGGAGATTTCGAGCGCGGAGGGGGTAGAGTCGTGCGTCGAAGCGGCCTGGTGGCCTGGTGCGAGAACGAGTTTCCGATGGTGCGTCAACCTATCTACTTTGCGTAAATCTGTTGGCTAACCCGGGGAGGATGAAATTGAACGGACAACTCACTTTTTTGGAAATAAATAAACTTGTCATATTTTTAGAATCTTAAAAGCTGTAGGTGATAAACCGGCAATTTTTTCGATTTTTAATTAGATCATCTTATTAGGAACTCCAATCAATATCGTCACTACTATAGGTAGAAAGACCATTAATATATATTCTACATATTAAAAGAAATGGGAAATTTGGAAAGAATATACGGGTACCATGTTCTATTTATCCAAACAAAAGAAAATTAAATTTTGAGAGTGGATTACACGAAAACGATCTGCATGTTTCAACATAAGTCCAAGTCATGAATCCCAAGCTCGATCCGTAAGAAAAGATAAAATACACACAATAGGAATAGGCAATGGTGCACCGGTACTTC